CCCCTCCAGGCCAGACTCACCGTCTCGTAGTCCTTGAGCGCGGCCTTGAACTTGCCCAGCGCCATGTTGGAGGCGGCCCGGCGGTAGTAGCCCTTGATGTAGCTCTTGTCGATCTCCAGGGCGCGGGTGGCGTCGGCCAGCGCGTAGCCGTAGCACTCCGTGCGCAGGTAGGCCAGGCTGCGGTTGCTGTAGTAGATGGCATTCTCGGGGTTGAGCTCCAGGGCCTCTGTGTAGAACTTGATGGCGTTCTCATAGTCCTTCTCTGAAACACACGGGCACCGCGCTCAGACCCGCCCTACTGCTCAGAGTGGTGAGCAACTACTGGGGCTCGGGGGGACTGGGGGAGCCAGCCTACAGCTGTGTGGATTCCTGTAGGTGTGGGGCGTAATGACTACAGACGTTTTTGTGCAATGTTCTGTTTATCTTTAAGGTTTTTTTCTACGTCCATCTGTCTGCGTGTGTAAAATATAGCTGCTTGGATGCAAAACAATCAAGACGATGGAATCAAGACGATACAGTGTTCTCGTATCCTACAAGCGCGTTTTCAGCCGACTCTGAAACACAGAGGTTTTACTTGCCCTCCGCGGTCAGTGCCTTAATTGTCCGGCGACAAGGGATTTTTCTTCTATCAAATTAAACTTTTATTTCACAAACAACATCTCGCAATAGGTACACACTCTTAACAAATTATTAAACTGACATCAATTAAAGAAAAACTTTCATGATCAGGTGCTTGTCCTTTATCAATCGGTGCAAGTGGATGCTGGGGCCGGATTGCACAATGAAAGAGTCCCTCCAAACCCCACCACTTGCTGTTGTCCGTGCCTTTTCCCTGCCCCGGCTCTGAAACTGCGGTCGTCCAGTCCTCCGCAGGAGCTCAGGAAACAGGGATTTCTGCTTTAGTCCCTGTACAGGCCCCACAGTCTGGCGACAAGGGACACAGAGTTCGAATCTTTGCTCAGAACATGTTTGTCTACAGGCTCAGTCACCAGGAGGACAGCTGAGGTCTGGACTATAGATTGATACTTTATTGATCCCATGAGGGAAATTGCAGAATCTATACTGCCAGGACTCAGTGGAGTGAGAGGTGTGATTTTTAATCAGTACACACAGCACATCAGGAAGCCATAGTGCAGAACCACAGATGAACTGGGTCTGGTGAGCACAATGTCTGAAGCGCAATCCTCTCTCATAACCCTGCAGAACTGATACCCCGTATCCCGAGCTCCCAGGAGTCCTTGCTGTCGAGGGGGTGCAGCTCCCCTGAGAGTCCCTCAGCCAGAACTGCTGGTCCCACACCTCCCTCCCCCACATCAGGATCACGGACACTCAGGGGAACCCTGGCACAGTGGCTGTGGGTCCTCTCCAGCCTCCTACGATCTCACCCCGAGTCAGGAGAGAGGCACAGTCGAAGCTCACGGAGAGACCTGTGTCTCGCTCCCTGCGTGCTCTGGGTCAGAGTCATCTCCCCATCCTTGAGGCTCCAGTGAAAAGCGGTCAATTTGGGACTTTGCCTTTACACAGAGAACTGTGGGTGTCTGGATCAAACAACGCAGCCACACTGCAGATGAAACAGCAGCTTCACATTCACGGCTGCAAAATTCCCAAAACAATCAGAGCACAGCCTCCTTGCTTACTGACATTACTGGTCAGTGGCAACAAGTTATGCAGAGAACGTTATGCGTCTCTGTAACGCCTAAATGAAAGCGTTCATTTCCCTGTGTGCACATGTACAGCTGAAAGCCCGTACCCCTGTGCTGCTTGCAGGGACCCCAGATCTTTGGCTTGGCCACCGAGCCCATTAGCGAGGGCACTATACCAGTCAGCGCCTGACTGTTTCAGACACCCACACCCCTGTGTGTGAAGAAGCGCCTGCTTTTCTCTGTTTTCAGTACATTCCCCGACGGTTTCATTACTAAACTACATTTTGCATTTTGTGACTGAAGCATGAAAATTAAGATCACCTGCTGTTCTACGCACAACCTACGGCTTTGATACAGCAGCGTGCTGCTCGGGGCTCGGACTGTCACCTCATGATCTGTTCTGCCGTTAGCTTGAGCAAAGTAAAAGTATAACCCTCCCACCAACCCAAACCTAAC